GACTAACTCATTACAGAATAGCACTAGTTATTTAAAATAGTGTTACAGTGTAGACATACCCTTAGACAAACAGATCAAGGTATCTTGGTAAGACAAAACCAAATAAAGCACATAAAGGATTAAAAAAAAAATCAGATTTACATATTCAGCTATACTGCATAAAGAGCCCAATTGCATTTCTGGATTTTTTAAATGAAGAGTAGTAAGCTCACTGCTATAAAGATGCGCTATATACAAGAAACTATCGCCCAGCACATGCACTCCTAAGCAAACGGTACCATTAAATAAAAGAGAAGCCAAGCTGCTGAGACCACCATTAATTTGAAAACTTTCAAAAGTGTCACTCGATAGAGTCATGCTTGATTAAGGAGAGCTACTGAGAAATAAGAACCAGACTTCAAAGAATGCATGTTATACATGGCAGTGGCCAAGAGATCAAATTCAGTTACAGACCCAGTAAGAAAAGTTCCTGAACTTCTGCAGAAATAGATTCTCTCAAATATTGTGTACACAACCAATCAAATCCTACAATACACACCTAAGTCTTCATGAATTGCTCGTTATGAAAAAGCGAATGGAATAAAGGAGCCTGTCAGTGAGCTCAGGATATCGATGTAATAGGTTCTGCTTCTATCTGAAATATGAAGAGCAAAGATGAGCCCAGCAATTTGCCATATTGTTGGTCTCTTGCATAGACTGAACACAACATTGATTCCAGAGTGAAGTCCACAACCTTCTTGTGACATTACCTGTGCAAATATCCTGCAGCAGCAGCAAAGCTCCTGTACCACTCCATAGACATTCATAACTCCGGTGGTTAATTAGGGGAATGAGGGCTAACATGTAAAAGGAAAGGAAAATCTGAAATTGTGAGAAGATCTTCATTTTTAATGGGGCAGAAAGAAAACTCACTTAAACACCAAAGATACATTCTTTTTGAAGATGTGTTTTTCTCTCAATATTTTGTCACCGCTAATCAATGCAATCAGTTCACATTTGACATAGGAGTCACCCAGTTTGAGCACTGACACTAAATATTAATGTTGTTATATTTCCATATTGTATTTCTATGCTCACTACAACTGGTTTTAGCTACAATAAATCTGCACCTTCTCCAAATATTTAATTCTAGAGAGGGCAGAAGTTCTTACTCTAGCAAGAATCCTATTAACTTCAATGGGAGTTTTGCCTGAGTAAAGGATGCAGGATCATACCTCAGGGCAATTTTAGGGCTGCAAAGTATTTGAGAAAAATGTTTTCTGACAGATAGCTTATACAAGGCACAGGTTTTTTTTACTCTTTTGCAATTGTACTTTTGAAGTAGCACTTATGTATATTATACAGTGCTTTGGTGTTCACCCCTATAGCACATACCCAATGTCTGTATGCAGCATGGCTAAATGAAAATATAAGGTAACGCTGTCACATGAGTAAATTAAGACCTATACAGTAATATAGGGATTATAAAATTTGTGTTAAAACTGGTAACAGCGATACTTATTTACTGACAATGAAAATACATAGCATTTTTCTGTCAGAACATTTATCACTTGGCAACCCTAGACTAACCTGACATGTAAAATGATCAAAATGGATGATATGTGTAATCTTTTCCATTCATTTCTATTTATTTTAGTTATGATAAAATTCATCAGTGTGCACAGGAAGATTGAGCTTGAAACAAAATTCCTACTGAAATTGGCTCATTGTATTTTTAGTATGAGATTGCAAAACAGGATACTTACAGAATATCTCACCAGCAGCAAACGAATATACCTGATAGTGTTAAATCTATATTAACTTTTATGATTTGTAACCAGTGAATTCTAAATTAAATATGTACTTGCCAATTACACTATTTTTTTAAAAAGTATCTATTTTGCACCTTTATTTTAAACTTGTTTAAGTCAAAGCAAAGTTATTTCTGTAACTGCCAGTAACAAAGTACCCAGGAGTAGACCATTTTAATCAGTTTTATTGATTCATGCTTTCAGTTCTTATTCAGTTAAAAACAAGGCACATTAAATATATTCTCTTATTGCTCTGTAAATGCATGCAGCTCATTCTGTATATCAAAAGTAATAAATAATGTCAATAAAACATTGTGACAATTATAAAAAGGACAGCCCAGCCTCAAATACAGTATTTAACTGTCCAATTGATAGCAATAACCCACTACAATACATAAGTGCCACATATAAAAATATGCAATATACACCCCACCCACCCACACACACACACACAAAATTGGGCTGATAGTTTTTGTTTAAAGAGTAGTTGCTGCACACTGGGTTAGAATAATACAGGCCAATGAAATTTTACAGCTGAATTGACCTGAAGAGTACATCTTGAAAAATCATTGTTTCAAAACTTTAAAACAGTGTTGGGATGAAATCAAATAATTTTGGATTGTATTTCCATTTTACTATTTAAACCAGTATAAACAATGTATGCAACTTTTTCTGCTATACAATGTAAGTACTTATACACATTCTACTGTGCCACAAGAGACCAAAACAGCAGAGGACTAAGAAAGTTATTGCATCTAAAATTCAAAGCAAATCAGAACAACAGGACAGGCACACAGCCATGAAAATCCCTTTACATTCTGCATATTATATTAAGTTAGTAAATAAAAAAACAGCAAGTAGTATATTGGATGTGTGGTACACAGTATTGGCGTTACAGCAAAACCTCAATTATCATTCTTAACAGTATAACTTAAGGGAGTGGAGGGGAACTATTAAAGGTGTACTGAATCATAAGAAATATGTTAAATACAATGGCTTTCTTCATCTAACCTGAAAAGGACTCTTCTGTGTCACTTGTAGCCATTACACTTTAAAAATTATTGGTAACATAATGTCTTTTTGAAAAATACAAAACTTAACTCTGTATTATTGTACATTGATTTCTCCCAGTTCTAGAATGTGCGGCAAAAGGTTGTTGTGTTCTTTACTCTTTAGTTCAAAAGGACATTTGGCACCAATAACTTTATATTGCAAAAATACAGATATATATTTTATCCAGTGTATGCTGACATATTTTAATGCAAAAGCTTGATAGAGAAACAAATCCAAGGCCCTTTTTGTTCATACATAAACCTCACGTTGTCATCAAGTGTCAATTCACACAGATTGAGCCATACTAGGGTGTGCTCAGTGATCTCAAAAACAAAAAAGTTAGTTCCCCACTGTGATGTGTGCAAGAAAGTACAAAGCATCTTAATGTTAGCAAAATCTAATAAAGGAAAAATCATTTTAAAGCATTTCACCTTGGGGCTTTTTAGAATACAGTCTTCCCTCCATTTTTTGTTTAGACTAAGTGCTGTATATTTGCCCTTAACTGATAAGTTCAGATTCATTTAATAATTTTAGGTGGGCTTTTCCTTCACCCATATTTAGATCAATACAATTTGTAATAGCTGGAAATGTACTAGATGAAAAAATTCAATCACCTCACCATTACCACCTGTAGTTAGTACTGTCATCACAGTTATTTTACATCCTGAGCACCTAAATATTTTGCATACAATATTATTTTACTTGTCTACTATTCAGAACTGCACTGCTTAGAGAATATTAACCTCACATCATGTGCCCTTAATGGATTAAAATTAATCAGATTTTGCATTTAGTTGTGTATATGTACGCTGGCACTTTAAATTCAAGGCTTCTGCTTTGAGATGTAAACTGATATTTATACTCGGGACTATTATGAAAAGTACTTACCAATAAAATATCCATTATTTTTTTCCTCCCTGCCACAGATCAAGCAGAAACCCTCCATTTGATCTTAATGCTGATCATAGTCAATTTCATAATAGGAAGAGTCACAGGGCAAATAGCCAGGTGCAGCATGTGCGAGAAAGGCTCAAATAAATAGCCCAAAATTGGTGTTCTCAACTTTGCATTAATTTGCTGAATAGCCCTTACCGCTTTTTCAGTAAGCCCTGCTAGATCACCAAAACAACTTTCCCATTTAAGTGTACATTTTGCAAATATTAACTGACTAAGATTAGAGTAATATGGCAAAGCTCTTGTTATATATACTTTCAGTATTTGTCTAAAAAACCCAAAAACAAACAGTACGAGAATTTACAAGATACGCCAATATCTGCTCGACAATAGCATATACTGAAAACAGACTGGTTTCCACACATAGGAGTGAAAGGTATACAGTACCTATATTATGTTTTACTTTAAATTATATCTTATTATGATAATTTTGGTTTTTTTGCTTCCATCTTGTGCTCTTCCAGCCTCATACTGTCAAAATTTTATTGACAGAAATGTATCTGACAAAAAATTTGATGCCACTGAATGAGTACAACACTGAGAAGCATTGAAGTGACTATGCAGCATTCCATAAATATCACTATGATTCTTTATCAGGATGTTTAATTTAGAAGTGCTCAAGATATTTTTTTGTGGCAACCTCCTGAAAACCTAAATGTGAACATTTCCCCTTTCCCCCATGAAAACTTTTCTTTTTCTGACAGGCACTTTGAACATGCCTAATACTTTTAATTAAAGTAGATTTTAGGTAGCAGCTAATCTGCATGCTTAAAAAGAAATGGTGCATAGAGAATATCTAAGAGCTTAAAGTTGTGAGAGGGAGTGTCTGAACAACCCTTTTCTAGACTCGTCTGAATTCTTGCAAATAATTTCCATGTCTGAAGTCTGCCCAGTCCAAAAGGCCACATTTTGGAGTATTAATATAAGCACAGAAAATAAGGAAAAAGATAAATGCACCCGTTTGTTTTTGTAAAAGCTACCTGACCACCAGCTACAGATCGTGTAGAATAAACAGACTTTTGAAACCATTGGAATGTTTTTCAGCACTGAACGAGGCAGCGACACATAGCTGTATGCAGGTTTTGCATTTTTCAAACTCACAGTCCACCACCACTTCGATCCACTGGAATAACAACTCTCTGATGTAAATTCTCTTCAGCAGTTTTCATAAGTACAGCCAGTCGGCTTCCTGACACATATCCCTTCTGAATAGCACTCATGAGCTTAAAAAAAAATGTACAACATATTAATGATAGTAGCCATATTTAGCCATGACACAACACTTAAAGAGATTTTAATCCCAAAGGTTGAAGTCTTCCCTGAACTGAGGATTCCACCCATTGGTGGCCAGCCAATAACATAGCTGCAACTGAAGCTAACCCCTCATGTAGATAAGATACATTGCTATGATTGGTGCCGCTTACCCGCCTGCTTGAAATCAAGACATACAAACTGATCTACACCAGTGCAGTAACTATGCACACCAGGGTTGGGCAAGATGTGGCCAGGGTGCTGGATCCAGCCCACCTAACACTTTGATCTGGCCCACGGACTGCACCTGGCCACTTTCTACTTATATCCTGCTGTCCATGCCACCAAATTTCCAGGCTGTGGCTCAGGCAGCAGGACCCTATTTAAATGGTCCATGATTCCTGGTTGTTGCACTACCATGGCAGCGGCCTGAGCCATGAGTCTTTTAAATAGAGGCAGCAACCCTGGGTGGCTGCCAGGCAATACGGTAGCGGTGGGGCCGGGAGCCAGAAGCCCTTTAAGTTGCTGCCATTTAAAGGGCTTGCAGCTTCCAGCATCACTGCTACTGCATTGCCTAGGGTTGCTGCGGCTATTTAAAGGGCTCCCAGTCACATTACTACCCCAGCAGGGGCCGGAGCGTTGAGCCCTTTAAATAGCCACAGCAGTCGGCTCCCAGGGAATGCAGCAGCGGCGGGGTCAGGAGTCATAAGCCTGCTGCTCTGTTTTTACTTCAAAGCCTCCAGCCCCAGACAAGAAGGGACTAGACTTGAGTCTCAAGGTCCCTTTCAGTTCAAGTATTCTATGATTCTGTGATTCTCCTCTTTCCTTCCACCTATTCTTTCACCAGTTCTGGACCATGTAAGTGAAGGCAGAAGTAGGCTTTTGTACAGTACTCAAGAAAAATATGTGTTGAGCAAAAAATATCCAAATATCTACATAGGTAATGTTCAGACATCTGCCAGATCCTCAGTTGGTGTAAACTGTCATAGCTCCACTCTCATCAGTGAAGTGCACCAAGTGACATAGCCAAGAAACTAGTCTGTGAGGCAACAGACTAGCGATCACAGATGCTGATATGTTCTTCTATTCAGGTCTTACTCTACAACATCCTTTTTATCTTCCTTCCTCCAGTATTGATTTGTGTGGTATCAGCATGATAGCAAAACATTCAACACCCTTTTTACTCCTCTGACCTTTTTCTTAAAAACCAGACGAGAGCTGAGCAAACACTTTATAAAAATGTATCTAATGAATTTAGCTTCAGCATCTGTTTATATCTGTTAGCATAATAATTTCTTCAAAAATTCCTAACTGTTTTAACTCATTAGATAGATTGAAACAGTTTCTGAAAGCATTCATTGTTCAAGCCATGTTGACTGTTCGCAACTGGTCAGAAAAAAAAATCATGTTACAGTGATCACTTGCCACACATTCAAATACAAGTTTACACAAATATTTGCAAACATAAGCTTCCACAAACATTCTTTCAAGGAAATGTGACAGTTTTCAGAGAGCAAACATAAAAGGAGCATATATCCTTACAGATCCATTTTAAAAGATTTACCATCACTTATGTAAGTTCCATACATTTAATTAACTGGGTGGCAAAAATCAAAGGTTTTTTTTATTACTTGTGATTCTAAAACTTAATTTATAGTAGTGCATAATAAGTTACATGCTGTACACATTCATAGAAGATATTCATCCCAAGTGTACAAAAGGCCTCATTATGGCAATGCTGAAGCAACCAGATTTCATTTGTTTTTATTTAAGGAACCTGTTCCAAAATGGGGCATACAGTGCATTTATGAAAAGCAAAGAGGATAAACTAGAAGCCACCAATAAATATAGTTTTAAAAAATTCAAAAAAATGCTGTCATTCACATTTTTACAGCATAAGCCACTCAAATGAAGAGCTCTGTATAGAAAATGCAAAGTGCTATTTATTCTTCACCAGTTAAAACTCTTATATAAAAAGGGGGAGGAGGTGCTCTAGCTCTCTCAATTGCCTGAAAACTGTGTTTGCTTTTGTTTAAGAAAATGTATTAGTATGATGTCATGGGGCTATTGTTTCCATTTTATTTTAAATGTTTTTGGTCACTATGCTTTAGGCAAATAAATCCTCCTTTTTGGCAATGCAGGGCATAACTGGTGAAAATTTTCTGCATTTAGATTCAACAATGCTCTTATCTACAGCTCATCTCCAGAGAGACAATTACCATTTCCTTTCCCTTGATCTTGTTTGTTTAACTTGACACTGTGAAGAAAGGGCTGACATTGACCAAAATCCTCAGTATTAATTTATCACATGTTCGGCATTCATCATCTCTGTGATTCTGGAAAGACCTGGCAGTCATTTGAAACACTTGACCAAGACAGACTATACAAAAACAAACCTGGCTAGCTGGAAACAAACTGCTCACGTAAGGGGAGTCAAAGGGATGGAGGCAAACACTGTACGAATATCTTTACTGACTTCTATTTTCCCTTGTAAATCGTTTGCAGCAAGATGCATAGACAACTGATGCTAACATCTCCCTTTCATGCACTCTGTTGCTTTCTCTCTATAGATAATTCAGAAATTAAGCAGGACAATGTAGATAGCTTACACCTCACACTGAACCTGCGGCTTCTCAGCCCTAATACTTTTTCAGTGAAACTTTTAATCAACAGTCATATTAAGTGTGAGTAAATACTACTGTTTTAACTGTGCACCACAAGCCAAATTGTGCCTTCAGAGGTATGGGTGGCTCACACCCAATCTGAAGGAAGCAAGAAACATGAATCTGAGGGCAGAATTTCCTACTACTGAAAAGGCTATCCCAAGAGACTACAGGATATGCTGTTTGGGTCTAAGAAGGTTTGTTTCTGCATAGAAGAAACTCTGAGTTTAATAGTGTCTATACATGCAAACCTTAATTCGAATTTGGTAAACCTCATTCTACGAGGAGTAATGCCAAATTCAAAATAGCTATTTTGAATTAAGTGGTGTGTAGACACTTAATTAGAAATAGGGGGCCTCCAGCCCTTCCCAGGGAGCCCTGGTGGCCACTCTGGGCACAACCAGGAAAACTCACTCTCCTCTCCTCCTTCCCCGGAGAAATTAAAGGGGTAGACCTGTGCCAGCCAGTGCCTGTGCCAGCTCCAAGCCTGCCAGCCCATAGCCAGCAGTGGCCATCGGGACCTCTGACCCAGTAGCACCAAAACATGAGCCAGCAAGCCACTGGCAGCCAGCCCTCCACCGTTCCCCAGGAGCAGTGTGCCAGCTCCCAGAAGCCTTTCTGGTTCAGGGTGGAGATCATGGACCTTATTCAGGTTTGGGGGGGATGCCCCCAACGTTCATGATTTCCACACTAGACGGATGAATGTGGCCGTCTATGGCAGGATAACTGCCAGCCTGGTCACCAAAGAACACATGTGAACTTATATAGGGAATGGTCTGTAGCCTGTTTTCCAGGAAAGGTTGGTCTAAATAATCACAATGATCCCTTCTCCACTAGAATCTAGGACTAGTACCTGTTTAGGAAGCATGAATTCATATATGTTCACTCCTGGAATATTAGTTTTTTGTTACTATAATGTGTATTTGACTACCATAATACCAACTTTGTGTGTTTGTACTCAGTAGCAAAAATAATTGTTTTTAAAAAGCTGAAAGATAATGCATATGAAATTAAATTGTGTGTTAACATACTGGCTAGTTTGGTTACCTAGGAAAGATTCCCAATTGATTTAAACAGTGGGAGTCAATATCTTCTAGTGCCGTGGTCACCAACAGGTCGATCGCGAGCTACTGGTCGATCTCGAGGCCTCGACCAGTCGCTCGCAAGGCATCCTGTCCGTCCCGCCCCCATTTCCCTCCCACCTCCCAGAAGTCCCACTACTTACCTCAAGGTAGTGTTGGCTTCAGAAGTACAGCAGCTTAGTCCCACTTCTGGCAATTCCAGAAGTGCACTAGCTGCTCTGCCGGCCCCCTGCACCGCACAGGAGGAGTGAGTCAGCCCCGCGGGAGGCACTCAGGGGGTTTCCTGGTGCGGGGGGGTTGGCACTATTAATTTCTGTAGGCTTTGTCCCAGGCTCAGATTTTAATGATTTGGAGCACTATTGACTTAACATTCATACCTAGTAGGGAAATGAAAGTGATTCTGCTCTGCTTCCGGTTTATACCTTTTTTCCCCAACCCTCATCTTGTCTGTTTTGATAATAAGAAACAATCCTTGTCCCTAAAAAGTTTACAATATGGTTTCATAATGCCTAGTAGACAGGGACCCTGATTTTGGGTGAAGCCTGTATGCATTACCATAACATCTTTAATAAATAATAATATATCATCCTTAGTAGGCAATATCTTATACTGAGATTTCACCCCAGAAAATACTCAAATGTACAGTATATAATATTCTTCCACATTTATTAGATGGCTACCTCCATTAAACAACTGGTTTTTGCCAATGCTTTTGTACTAGTCACATATAGCTGAGATACTTCTGCTAATTTAAGCATGAGGTTATTTTATTGGACACAGGAAGAGGAATTAATAGTAGCTCTTGGAATCACCAGTGCAAAGTTGGTGAAGCTAGGTGCATAAAGCAGGATATATAAAGGGGATAGTAAATGGGGAATGAGAGCCCCAAAAGCTCCTGTGTTTTGAACTACAGGCAGTCCCCGGGTTACGTACAAGATAGGGACTGTAGGTTTGTTCTTAAGTTGAATCTGTATGTAAGTCGGAACTGGCGTCCAGATTCAGCCACTGCTGAAACTGACCTCCAGTTCTGACTTACATACAGATTCAACTTAAGAACAAACCTACAGTCCCTATCTTGTACGTAACCCGGGGACTGCCTGTAGTTCAAAACACAGGAGCTTTTGGGGCTCTCATTCCCCATTTACTATCCCCTTTATATATCCTGCTTTATGCACCTAGCTTCACCAACTTTGCACTGGTGATTCCAAGAGCTACTATTAATTCCTCTTCCTGTGTCCAATAAAATAACCTCATGCTTAAATTAGCAGAAGTATCTCAGCTATATGTGACTAGTACAAAAGCATTGGCAAAAACCAGTTGTTTAATGGAGGTAGCCATCTAATAAATGTGGAAGAATATTATATACTGTACATTTGAGTATTTTCTGGGGTGAAATCTCAGTATAAGATATTGCCTACTAAGGATGATATATTATTATTTATTAAAGATGTTATGGTAATGCATACAGGCTTCACCCAAAATCAGGGTCCCTGTCTACTAGGCATTATGAAACCATATTGTAAACTTTTTAGGGACAAGGATTGTTTCTTATTATCAAAACAGACAAGATGAGGGTTGGGGAAAAAAGGTATAAACCGGAAGCAGAGCAGAATCACTTTCATTTCCCTACTAGGTATGAATGTTAAGTCAATAGTGCTCCAAATCATTAAAATCTGAGCCTGGGACAAAGCCTACAGAAATTAATAGTGCCAACCCCCCCGCACCAGGAAACCCCCTGAGTGCCTCCCGCGGGGCTGACTCACCCCTCCTGTGCGGTGCAGGGGGCCGGCAGAGCAGCTAGCGCACTTCTGGCATTGCCGGAAGTGGCGCTAAGCTGCAGGACTTCTGAAGCCGACACTACCTCTTGAGGTAAGTAGTGGGGCTTCTGGGGGGTGGGAGGGAAATGGGGGCGAGGCGGACAGGACGCCTTGCGAGCTACTGGTCGAGGCCTCGAGATCGACCAGTAGCTCGTGATCGACCTGTTGGTGACCACGGATCTAGATGGTGCTTGGTCCTGCTGTGAAGGCAGGGGACTGGACTTGATGACCTCTTGAGGTCCCTTCCAATTCTAGTATTCTATGATGCTATAAATCATTTGGGGAGAACAGATGACCCTCCTACCCAGGGCTGGATTAAGGGGGGAGCTAGCCATGCAGCTGACTGGGGTGCCAACCTATGGGGGGGGGGGCGCTGTGCGCCTGGAATCCGCGTGGCGCCCATCAGAGCTGCAATCAGGCTCTGCGCACCCAATTGTAGCTGTAATGTGTGCAGCGCGCCGGGGGGCCAAGCCGCGCAAGCGCCATGCACCCAGGGGCGGAGCCGTGCATGCACCGTGTGCCCATTATCCAGGGCGCAGGAATGGCTCGAGCCAGCCCTGCTCTTACCCTGTCTATTCACTGTAAGAATATAACAACAGCCACACTGGGTCAGACCAAAGGTCCATCTAGCCTAGGATCTGGTCTTCCGACAGTGGCTAATACCAGATGCCCCAGAGGGAGTGAACAGAACAGGAATCAAGTGATCCCTCTCCTGTCACCCATTCCCAGCCTCTGACAGAGGCTAGGGACACCATTAGTATACATCTTGGCTAATAGCCATTGATGGACCTAACCTCCATGAATGTATCTTTCTTGAACTCTGTTAAAGTCCTGGTCTTCACAACCTCCTCTTAGCAAGGAGTTCCACTGTGGCCTCAAACAGCTTCTAAAGACACTTGACACCATGTGAAATTTCCACAGCATGAACAGAAAAGCTGCATAAATTACCACTGCAGAATAGGTCAGCAGTGTATTGCTCTCCTTCACTCCTCAGATTTATTAGGCAATTTTAAGACAGTGATGATCTTCTAGGTAAGGATCTACACATAGATACTTGCTCAGGGTTTGCGTTTGCAACAAGTCACATTAGCCATTTCTGTGTTACTCCCAGTTCAGATCTGCTAGTTTAGGTTTCTCTCTCTCAGCAGCTGGGAGCATGATGTCTTTTGTTCCTTCCACTCAGCAAGTCTTTTAGCTAGGTTACTTTAAAAATATACAGAGACAGCCACCTGCTTTAATGTCCAGACAGCTGGAAAAGACACAACAGAAGGGAGGCAGACAAACTCCATGTTTAAAAAAAAAGTCCTCATTCTCTCTCACAGAAGGATAACACCTACTAGCTCATATAGTGTGTACCCTTACCAATGCAGGACAGGCAGTCTATGCTAAGGATGAAATCCTGGCCTTACTGAAGGCAATAAATATTCACAATTCCTATTGATTTCAATGGGGCCAAGTTTTCAACCTCAGAAATATCTTGTTAGTTTGGGTCAGTACACTCAAGTTACTACACTTAAGCTAGACTGGCATTCCTTTTTATGGTCACACTCACTCAAAGCTAGCTTCTAGAGCAGTGTTTCTTAAACTTTTTAAGACTGAGAAACACGAAACAATATTTTTTTGTTAAGAAAAAAAAGGGGGAGAGGTTGGGGGGGAAGTTATTGAGGAAAAAGGGCAGCCATTTTGAATTCTGTTGTTCTCCATGGAACACAGTTTAAGAAACACTGCTCTAGAGAGAATGAGCAAAGCTTGAGCTGCACAATTATTTGATTAGCAACTGATGGGTTGCTGTGACATAAGCAGATACATCCTCATTGCAATATTAGCACCGTTGTCAGTATACCCACTGATGGGACTAGCTGGCCAACCCCAACTAGATATTTGTGCGTGAGGACAGCAGTTGGATTAGTGATAAAACTGAGTTATACTTCAAGTTAATAAGGTAGTGAAGACAATCTCTTAGTCTCTTTCTCTCCAATGCTTCATCACTATTAAGAAAAGTATAAGCACATGCTGCAGCATTTGCCCTTATAAGAACAGATTCAGATTATGGAAAATTATGTGATCAACACAAAGTCTGTGCTGTAAAAATTGTATTTCTTAATGTTGATACATGCATTGTCCACCATTACGAAAGTAAATTCATATATAAAAAAAATCATGGCTAAAAAACTGTATGGCAAGCCTATAAAATTGTGTATAAACCCTACATTTAACTCTAATAATTTCAAATATAGAAATTATCATCCCTTTCATTACAACTAAAAAAAACCAAGCACCCTACACACTTACCTGCAAAAACTCATTGAGTTCAACCTGCCCATTTTTGTTCAAATCCACCTCATTTAAAATCTCATGAAGTGTATTTTCATCAATTTGAATGCTGATGTTCTAAATAAAAGAACAGAACAAGCAAATCAATGGGATCTGTTAAACATGATTTATACTATATTACACAACTGAGATAAGAATTCAAAAATCAAGAGAGAAATATTACCTCTAACACAAGTTGAACATCCAGTATGGTAATAAAACCTTTCTTCTCTTTATCAAACATGTGGAACCTCTTTTTATATCTGCAAAATAGAATTATGAATGGTACAGATATATGGAAAAGGTTGACAGAAGTCTCTTCCCAGAGACTGGGGAAAGTCCATTTGTACTTTATTTACCTGTCAATATCTGAAGGTATAAGTGTGATTTCAGAGCTGTCTGTTAATTGTTCTGATTTTGCCTTGTAGCCCATTTCATAGTACAGAAACTTTTTAGCAGATTCAAGTTCTTCCTAAAATGGGAAGGAAACAAAGTTTCAGTTCTAGAATAATCCTGAATATTTACACGCTGAATACCTTCTATACTGTAATATTTTATTGACTCCAATCACTTAATTATAATTGCTGGTTCTTAGAGGAGTATCAGCATTTAATAGCCAAAAAGTGCTTACAAGCAAGCGAGGTCATTAAGATAAAGCAGTATTCCATGCTTCACCTAGATCACTTGCTTTGATGTTTAAGTGTTGACTGTCAATTCATATTCACACACAGAGAAATGGAACATAAAGATTTTAGGGTCATATCATGTTCTCAATACACACATGAATCTTCCAATGATGTCAGCAAGACCAGAATTAAGAGTTGGTAACTTACATGAATATTTAAATGCTGTGAATGGTCCATAATGGACTCCAATCAACAATAGATATGAGAATAAAAATAAAACCTGACATTATCATCTTCATACAGCAGAATGAAAAGGAGGGTCTTAGTCATAAGTTAAAATGTTTCAGTTCAACTTTGAATTCTTTGCTTATTTAAGAGTTTTAGGTATGGTTTTGGTATTTAACATCTTGTGTGGAAGACCATAAAATGTATATTTACAGAGATTTGCTCTGACCCTTCCAGCCCCTTTTAATATTATAGTCAAATGCAAATTCATAGCCTTAATCAAGTGTTCACATACTATTTTTTAACTATATTACACAGTATATTAGCATATACTAGTTTTCTAAAACCTTTATTACAGTTATGTAGCTTCTTTGTATTTTGGTCTATGTACGCCATAAAAGTCACCAATACTGTTTACTTACTCAGTGTGCTAAAGATTACGTATAAATGACACATACCCATAGTATAAATTTTCTAGGCATATCTACGTGTCACCAAAGTTCCAGGGCACATATGTGGCAAAAACCTACATATGTGATTAAGTCAATATCTTACATTGTTGTTTACAGTGCTGTTATACCTCTATTGGTCCCAAGATATTAGAGCAACAAGGTGGGTGAGGTAATTATCTTTTATTGGAACAATTTCTGCTGGTGAGAGGGAAAAGCTTTTGAGCTACACAGAACTCTTCAAGTATATGAGGAGACCTGGTGAGCTTATCAGGACTACTCACATGCTTCATGTTAAGCATGTACACATCTTTACAGGATCAGGGATTAATGAATGCTGCATTGATGATGTACTACACTATCTCACCCTCAAACAGCAATAAAGATATACTGGACCACACTGAAAATAGAGCTCATATGTAGGAATGAAACAAATCACCTTTAAAGATGCTACATATGTAATTACAGTAATAGGGTGATCTGCCCCCATGAAAGGGCCACGGATCATGGGGCTAGTCAGTCCTGTTCTAAGGCAGAGCCCTTAAAATAAACTGGTACAGGCAGTCCCCGACTTACACGGATCCGACTTATGTCGGATCCACACTTACGAACGGGGCTCTCGCCCCGGAGGTCGAGTTAGCGGATTGCTACCTGCGAGCTCCGGGGCGAGAAAGCCCCGTTCGTAAGCTGCTCCGGTGCCCCTGGTCTGCTGGAGACCGTCTCCAGCAGACCAGGGGCACCGGGCGGGTTCCCGCGCTTCTGAGGCTTTGCTCTGGC